CAGCCAGGCAGACGAGCTCCGAGCCAGCTCCCATGTCAGAGGATGAAGAGAGCACATCCTCGCCAAGTATGTTCTTGAGAAGAACAAAGAAATGTGTTGACTGTGGGAGAACGGGAGCAGCAGCATAAATCTGGGTCAATTGGTACAGAAGCGTACTGATGACGTCACCACACGCTGGGCTCGTCAGGAGCTGGATTTCACCTCCTGTCATTAATAGTTTCTAGATAATAAATTGACTTTTTTCATTTATTGGGAATAATAATCAACACAGTCAGGTAAACACAAATCGAATAAAGATTTTGCCAAATAAAACAAAGAAAATAAATCAGAGCAAGTGGTCCTTCACACACCGCTATGCTGAGAGAGGGCTGCTGCAGACGGGTTAGAATTAGGCCTGGCTGCTGCGGTCCTCTCAACGTTTGAATTTTCTTTTTTAAATTATGCACTAAATCGGTAGATGGACCATATAGTGATGCTTAAAAGTGTAATATTTTCGCCTGAAATGATCTTAAAATTTACTTTTATTGAACAACAGCAACAACAGAAAAGAGAACTATTAACTTAATACTCTGAGCTCTAAGAGTTAAGAAGATGAAGCGCTTAAAATGCTAACCAACCAATTGGCACACATTGATAGCATGGAAGAAATATGGTGAAAAAATACAAAGGAAGAATAAAAAAGACTAAAATAATATAACATGCACATAACAGGGTTTCCGCAGGTCATTAAAAATCATTAAGTCATTAAATTAAGGCCTTAATTGGCATTAAAATTCATTAAATGTGATTATTGTGGCATAAAAAAAAAAAACTTTGTTTAAAAAAAAAGTTTATATAAAAAAAAAAACAATTTAGCCAGATATATTACATCGCAATATATTTGTGCGGAACTGCTGGTTGATCGTAAGGCCGTATGTTAAAAGAAAAAGAATAGAATGGGAGGAAAATGCTAATTTCAACAAAAATGGCTCCTGGGTACTTGTTGATGGCATTAAAATTATTTCTAAGAGCATTAAAAAAAAACATTAAAAAGCATTAAAATAGACTTACTCATTCCTGTATAAACCATGCATAAATACTTTAAAAAATACTTGATAAAGTTGATTAGAATAAGACACATTTATGTCTCATTGTACAATTAATTTCTACCTACATTTGTTTTATTGTATTTTTGGGGGCTTCTAAAATCTATGTCTCTTCCAGATTTACGATAAGCGTCTCTTGAATTTGTTAGATAAACTTTTAAGCTTTTCAGCGTAAAATAAATGTTTTGCTCACAGCTTTGCTCCGTATTTTGACGTGAGGGACGGAGGACATGGAATAGTTCCTATTGATAAACGTGAATGCGCCAGTGATCCACTGGATGTACGTGAAGTCGGAGCGGTTACAGAGGATGTGGAATCTGGGGGTTAGCATCTTTTCTACAGCTCGTTTCTAATTGGTCCCAATTCTCTGCAGTCGGAGGAGCCGGAGCTCACAGTGCTGCTGAACAACGAGGAGGGAGGCTTGGTCCATCTGCCGCTGGTGAACAGCGGACTGGCTGAACTCTGCTGAAACTAGAAACCCAGCTCTGGGTTTGAGCCACTTTTGGAAACCAGTTGAATATTTCTACATTTTTTTTTTTTTTTTTACTGTTTATCTCGTTTGATCTCCAGGTGTCCATCATTATGGGATTCAAGTTCTGCTCTTAGTTTTCACTTAAAAAAAAGAGAGTTGGAAAACAGTGATTTGGTTTGTTTGGCTCTAGTTAAAGATTTCTATGTGAAATTTTTTGTTTTGTTTTTTTACACATTAAAGTTCTCAAATACCATCAGATGTTTGCTGTTTGCTTAAAAAAAACCAGTGTTCAGACCACAGGAATCAATAAATATAAAATACATTTATTTTAGAAAACAAAAAACATTCACCTACAAAAATAAATATTTAATATATTTTACACAGTAAAAAATAAAACTAATCTTTAATGCAGCCGTAATTGTATCGGACAATTTGTTTTAATGCTTTAAAGAAGCAGAGGCACCGAATGTCATCAAGCTGACCTCAGTCTTATTCAAAAACTGAAAAAAAGATATTTGTGACGATAAATGAACAGAAATAAGTGTTTTCTTTTATGCCTGCTTGTCCAGGAGGACGTTTCCGTCTTTGTCCTTCACCCTTAGCCGCCCGGTTGGGTAGCGGGTTTCTTGGCGGCCATCGCTGTAAACGGTCTTCACCGTCCCGTCTGGATACTCCCTCCTCTTGAACTCGGCGGTGTGTATTTCCTTCTGGCCCGTGTTGAAGTGGATCTCTTTAGTGCCGTCCCTAAGACAAACGAGTCGGCATTAATTGAAACCTCGTCTGGAGGAAGTGTGTGATCAACAAACCCAACGTCTTTGGATTGAACAGATAATAGGTAGTGAGACCTGTGTTTTCTTTCCAGACCAACACAAGCTCGCGAATGATGCATATAACATATCTCTCATCATCCAACCATCACATGCTGAAAACAGTTGCTCATACAGCAGCAGCTTCTTCAACTTCTTGGTTTGTAGAAGGAAATGTTGGGTTGTTACAAACTGAATCAGCAGGCAGGGTGGAAAGACTTCTTAAAATAAAGGAACATGTTCCTCAATTGCAAGAAAATGTAAAATATTTAGATTCTCCTGGAAGTTTGAGCTTAAAAACTGGAAACTTAAAAATAGACAATTAGCCTCAGCAGTGAGGGGGAAAAGTCCCACAAAATCAACTTTTACCTGAAGGTGAAGCTGTATTTCAGTAAAGGTTATGCTACGTTCAGCTGAAGCAGCGGGTCTACATGCAAAGTCGATGGTCGACGTGCATCAAGTTGCAGCAAAAGGTCCTGCAGCAGCAGGAGCAGCGCCACATTAGCTTCTGAGGCACGTGACACGCTTCACAAGCAGCAGCTAATGGAGTTGAAAAAATTGGAACTTTTGCTGCTGGATGTGCCACATCAACCAATCAGAGAAGCTGATCTGGGAGCTGGCAGGGAGACAGAAACAGCCCTGATGATGCAGAGCGCTATGATCACTCCTCTGAAACAGTTGAAGGTGCTGTAGGAGATCTTGGAAAAATTGTTCCAGTAAGCTACATTTTTGAAAATACACAACCATGCCTCTCCCTTCAGACCACCCTTTGAAACCACGCCTTCAAAACACATGAACGCGCACGCCGTCTGCAGCGCATCTAGAGATGCAGGAGCAGAGCTGATGATGCAGAGCGCTATGATCACTCCTCTGAAACAGTTCATTAACGCCTAAATTACCTTAAAATACCGAAATCTGCCTGCAAAACATGTCCGGTTTAACTGTCCTGGTGCCTGCAGTTTGGATCAGGTCCATAAAAAAACGCCTTCCAGCCGCCGCGGGGACCGGGCCAGGGGCTGCTGTTGAACGGGATTTCTAGTGACAGAGCACCGCTGGTGTACGGGGGTCTGAGCGGCTCCAAAAACAGTACACCTCTGTGGGAGGCTGTGGTGGCTGCTGCACGCAATGTGGATCGCAAACAGATACAGACACTGACAGAATCCATGGATGGAAGGCTTTTGAATGGTGAAGAATCCTGGCTATATTGGTCACCGATTTGTTTGTTTTTGAATGTCGCAAATGTTTATTTCTGAATTGAGTTGTAACATTGGTTTAGCTGGTGAAAATAAAATAAACAAGTGAGATGGGTATATATTTGTTTTTTATGACGTTGCCTAATAATTCTGCACAGTAATATTTACCTGCACACACACACATCCTCACAAAATGACCAAATCTAAAAGAAAAACACATTAACTTCCAAAAACATGAAACTTAGATATTAAGGAGTCTTTTGGGTTGATTGAGAACACAATTGTGGCCCAATAATAAAAATAAACCTCAAAGATACAACTTGCCTAATAATTCTGCACACTGTGTGTTTCACTGCTTGCTAGGCCGCTGTGGGGAGATCCTTAAGCCACATGGTAAAAAAAATGCGTCAGAAAAGATCTCCTACTGCACCTTTAACTCAAAGTGTCAAAATATTCTCGCTTTTATTATTCTGGTGCGTTTTGGATTATGTACATGAAAACTGCTAACATTTCTTTCATGCCGCCATGAGCAGTAGGTGAAAATCCCAACGAGGCGACCGGGCCAGAGGCTGCTGTTGAAGGGGATTTCCAGTGACGGCACCGCCGGTCCGACAACAAAATAATATTTGAAGGCAGGATCGTAATTTTGATGAACTGACTGTACAGATGAAGTTTTCAGGTGGACTAAAAAAACTACGTTCTACTTTTCTATATAGTTAAGCCGCTCTTCAACGCGCTTCAGGATTGGAAAAGATGCTCATGAGGCGCGTCAGACCTTAATGCGGACAAGCATTAAAAAAAATGCTTTTTTTGCTGCTTCCAGCACTTGCGCTCTGAACGTAGCATTAGTTTTAAAGTATCAGACGGCGACATGATGTGTGAACTTACGGGTTGACTTGTATGATGGTGCCGTCTGTCAGCACGCTCTCCTCCCTCCCGTCAGGGAACAGGTTCTTCACCGTCTGGTCTGGGAAGGTGATCTCTTTGCGGCCATCTGGAAAATGTTTTTCTGGAACAAGAAAAAATATTTTAAAGCGGCTGCATGTAAAATATTTGGGTACCAATGTAACCCTTTGGTGCCTATTTAAACCGTCCATCTCATACGGGATCAAATAACTAAAATATCTGGTTCTCATCAACTTGCTAATTTGATTAGTTTACATAGCAGAGGGACTTGTGTTGAGGATGGATCAGATCATGGAGCTAAATCCTGAGAACTTAATCCTTGGAGCAGTTTTTATCTTTCGAGGCACAGCTGGAGGTCGGTTCTCACCTGTCTGGTTGTTGGGAAAGTGCAGGACTTCCATACCATCGGGGTAGGTGATGTGTGTGGTCTGAGCCTCGGCATAGTAATAGATCTGATCACAGGAAGGAGCAGTTAACACAACCGATTGACTATCAGGACTGGTCAAAGCTAAGCATCCAAGCATAGATCGGTTGGCTTGAATGGTAAAAAGTCTCACCACTCTCTGATCAGCTGTGATTTGTTTAGTGTCTCCGTTAAAGAAGGTGACCTTGGCTGAAAGCCCGTCGGCTGAAACTTCTTTCCTGGTCCCGTTAGGAAAGACGATGAGACGATCGCCGCTCGGCAGAACCTTCTCTGTCTGAAAGGAAAGTTCCCATCAATCAGTGATTCTGAGTCATCATCAGAGCCGTTTTCAGGATGTAAATCACATCCTGAAAACGTTTGTTACTCTAGTAAACTTGTTGCTTTTATCTCCACCCAGATTTCCTGTGATGGACTTTATATTTAAATGCTAGGCAGGTTTTCCTGCTAGATCTGTGAAATAAATCCATTTTTGTCTTTTCCTTCTCAGAATATTTCAGTGCTCATTAGATGATATACTTATTATAGCTTTGATTTTAGATTTAAAACACTTCACAAAAGAATTTATTAACTGCTGTCCAGGAAGTGGTAGCACTGCATTCTGTTTAATTCATCTATTTAATGTGCTTCACTAATTGAAATAAAGAGTTTGTGATAATGAGGTAGTAAAAGGGTTCATTGGGAGCTAAATTCTCCATTAGAACAAGCATTAGACAAGTGTTCATTATGTGGGCTGTATGTTTACTTTTAACCCAAATCAATTACGTTCTAAGCTAATTCAACAAAACCATCCATTAAATGTCTCATCTAGCATCTGACCATGAGTCTTGGCTATGGAAAACTATTTCTGGAATAGATTTTAGACAGTCTAAACCAGGGGTCTTCAACGTTTTCGAGGCCAAGGACCCCCAAACTGATTGCGAAATGGAGCGGGGACCCCCTAATTATATATATTGTATGAAATTGTGTT